GTTGTTGTTGTTGTTGTTGTTTTTGAAATATTTGCAAAAATCCAAGACACAAAGACAGATTTTGTATTTTTCCAGCTGTTTTTGTTATATTCGCATGTCCATAAATTATACACAGGTTATTCATTTCGTTATTGAACTTCCTACAATCAATTGTAAAGGGGTCAACTTTGATTTTAGGTATCAGGCATGTGTCTGTGACTTTTATATCTGAAGTTATAAGGTAATTATTCCAAAGAGGGAAGAAATGCCCCCCCATGCAAGGGGCCCCTGGTTCACTCCATAGGGTTAAAGAGCCGCAGAATCAACTGTGAAGAATGCAGAGGTTCTGCCTCCACGCTACACCGAACTCACTATACTGGTACAGGCCAGCCATGACATGCAGTAACTTTGTGGGCATCCTGTGAAGTCCACGGATGTTCCACAGGATGCAGTTGCTGGTAGGTGAGCAAGTGATCACAGATCCTGTTGAGGATGACTCTAGCAAGGACCATACCCAACACTAAGAGCACTGTTATCCTGTAGTTTCACATTCCAGGTGATTACCCTTCCGTTTCCAGATAGGGACACTGAGTCCCGTTTTCCAGTCTGTTGAGATGATGCCCGTCTCCCAAACAGAACAAGAGATTGCTTGCAAAGCCAGAAAGACAGCCTTATCATCAACCTGGAGAGAGGTTCACCCCTGGATACTACAGATCCTGCAGCCTTCCCTACCCTCAGCTGTGCAATTGCAGCAAGACTGGGCGGTTCACAACTAATTGAAGAACCAGCCTCAAGAACTGTGAACCCAGAGATGTCCAACATCCTAGTCGGAGGGTCAGCTTTAAACTGTTGCTCAAACTAGCTGGCCCATCAGGTCACAACTACAGCATCATCCGTAAGGACCATTCCGAGAAACAGATTTAGATATGCGTGATGCTTCGACCCCTCTGTAAGTAGGACGTGGGTCGCTAGATCACAGATGGTATGTCACTTGCTCTAAGAAAATACCAAGCCAGGGGTGGGCAATCTTATCCACTAAGGGCCGGTGTGTGTGCAGGTTTTAGGGATAACCTTTAGGTCAGCTGTTCAAACCCAGGTGTAGGAACTCTTCAGGCAATCAGTCTCTGCAGTTCCTTGATGGGCCGAATGGCCTCCTCTCGTTTGTAAATTTCTTATGTTCTTATGTTCCTCTAATTATTGACCTAATTAGAGAGTTGCAGCGAAAACCTGCATACACACCGGCCCATTACGGATAAGACTGCCCACCCCTGTACTAAGCCATACTTTTCAGTTCTTAGTATAGATCGGAAATGCCATCGAGCCATGCATAATGATGTACTGACACATCGGTGATCATTCACAATGGCATCTCAGATTCTCTTCAGTACTGTTTACTTTACCATGTGGTTTTTATCAGTCATAAAAGCTAATATCCAGTCAAAAGTCACTAGTATGAATGAAACACCTTTGAACCCTGCAGTTCCTTGTGAAGCTGTAGACATTGTCCCTAAGTGGCTCTGCACCCCTTATCCCAGGTACAGAACTCTGCAGTTCCTTGTGAAGCTGCAGGCACTGTCCCTAAGTGGCTCTGTACCCTCACCCCCCAGGCACAAAACCCTGCTGCTTCTTCCCCCTCTACCTGCTGGCTGGAGAATGTCTGAGTCTGGGAACTCATCGAAGTTGGAAGTGTCATCAATGCTTTTGATCTCGATAGGAATGGCGGCCGGCCTCCCCCTGTAGAAGAACACAAGACGAGGGCTAGATGATCAGCCTCTCATGCCCACAGAGCTGCCATAAGCAATATCAACCTGGATGTATTTCTAGCAAAGGTGTTTCTGTGCATCGAATGTTTAAAAAAATGCTGTTGAGAAGATTAAGAAAGGCATGACGAAGAACTGCAGCTCTGAAAATGAACTAGTGCAAGTTACTTTCTGGTATCTTCTAGAGCCTAGGGTCAGACAACAGTGGACACCCCACCTGATGTGCTCATAATCCACTCCCTCGAAGAAAGCGTTCTTCTTGATCTCCTCTACCCCCGTAGCCCCGATCCGGTGCTCACCTTCACAGCAGAACCTACAAAACCAAGCAGCTAATGAATCACTGGAGGCCAATTACACAAATGGCAGGAATATCCACATGTATAGCTGTCTTTGGGGGTTAGTCACAAACAGAAGGTCTGCCTGCATTTACATGCCTTTCTGAAGGTTAGTAGTGGACAAGAGCGTCTGTCTGGGGATCAGTAACTGAACTTCGCAGATGCTTTCACTGTACAAACCACAGCTTACACCAGGACCAGACCAACCTGCCAGTTCATGTTGTGCTTTTGGAATTCATTAGAAATTGTTCATTTCATTTTCATTATAAGTAAAAATTAATGTTTCCCTAAAATGAATTAAAGTTAAAAGTTAAAATGTTTTTTACTCATAATATCACATTTCAAAATTATTTATTTGGTGTCTAAGTACAATTAAGAATGGAAATTAGATTCCTTTGTCTCACGTGTGTCTACTTGGGTTAAGAAGCTGCAGTCAATGACAAGCACTAGGCTGACCAGGACCTGACCAGCATGAGAGGATGGAAACGGGTTTAAGAAACCTTTTAGGAAACTCCTACCATCCTATCTGAACCTGCTAGATGTTTTATTCATTCTTATTTATCCACACCTTCAAGTGATTTTATTTGGGAAATATGCCCACTAAAATATTACAACAGAGGGCTTAACCAACCTGAGAATAAGATCCTTGGCTTTCTCAGAGATTGGCACCTCTGGAGGAAACACCAATGTCTCCCTCCAGTTCATCACCTTCCTGTAGGTCTCCTGGGGCGTCTCTGAGCAGAACGGCGGGTAGCCTGGAGATGGACAGATGGACAAGTTAAGGCCCACAATAAAAGTAGGCAGAACAAAAGCACCATCACCTTTAAAAGGGTCTATTCTTCTACTAAACAAAGACCATATTAAAAGAGTGAAAATTAAATTAAAATTATGGTATGAGAGCAATGCATGTGTGCAAGCTTAAAAAATACAGCATTTGGGCTTCATCTAGCCTAGATCAAAACATCGAAGGAATTTGCTCTGGTGCAGGTGATGACATGAGGTACAACATTAAACATACAATCAAGACAGAAGTACAAAAGACAACAGAAGAAAAATGTAAAAAAGTAGAAAAAAACAAATGTGCAAATAAACATGCAGACGACCAAACATAGGGCACAAACAGTTTTGGGCTGTGTGCAAATGATAAACAAGCATGCAGATGTATAAATAAACGTAATACAATCAAACGTAGGGTGCAAACAGCTTTGGGGTATGTGCAAATAAGCTAATGAAGTCAAGAAGAGTATCAAATTGTTATAGGTGCTGATTAAACATGAAAAGGTCCCATAAGTGCCAGTGTGCTCCTGTTAGGAGGCCAATGGCCTGCGGCAGTGGAGCTTTTAACTGGCAGCACAAGCCATTCACCAAAATTTTACAAATCAGCATTCATGAAGGCAAAGTGAATATATCATTTTAACAACAGTTTAGAAGCCCAGCCTTACCAATCAACATCTCATACATGATGACCCCAAGACTCCACCAATCACAGAGCTTGTTATAGCCATTCTGCATGAACACCTCAGGAGCGATGTAGTCTGGCGTGCCCACAGTGGAGAAGGCCTGAGGGTTAGAGGGGCTGCGTGTCAGCAGTGAGCACTTAGCATGTATTCTTCCTAAACTTTGCCAGTCTCTCTCAGAAGCCATTCGCAACTAGCCTAATGTCAGAAGACAGGCAATCCATTATCAGCATGTTTTCTATGCGGCCTAGCTAGTATTTAACTGCATGGTGATATTAGAATTTGGTGATCAGTGGTCATTGTTGACACACCACAGTACACAACAAGGAAATATGTCCTCTGCATTTAACCCATATGTGACATCGTGACATAGCAGGGGGCAGCTAATTCAGCGCCAGTGGAGCAGTTCTTGGGGGCGGTACCCTGCTCAGGGAACCTCAGTGGTGCCTTGCTGGTTGGGGATTCATACCAGCAATCTTTCAATTACAAGTGCGCTTCCCTAACCATTAAGCCATCACTGCCCCCATTTATTAACCATTGGTTACAATGGTTAATAAGTAACTCTTCTAATTTCAAAAGGTTCTTGTATCAAATGACAATTTCATCCTTCATAATCCAGACATTCAAAAGTTCCAGATATGTCTACAAATATGTCCATGTGAAGCATTTTTGAAAAACATGTAGCAGGTTCAACAAAGTTAAAATTAATTTAGGCAGCAGGAGAAAAGCTAAACCAAAAAGTAAGAACTGACAAAACGTAACAGCTAAAAATCATGTGTCTGTTTACAATGTGCTGGCCTAGGAGATGTTACACACAACATTTCACTTCATTACCATCAGCTTCCCATTTCCATTCAAACACATTGTAACAGCAAACCTCACACCACCACAGAAAAGTTAAAAACGATTAGAAACATTCTTCAAAAGAGTGAATCTGAAACCAAGCCCTTTGGCAAATGTGAACAGCAGCCACACTGAAGCCTGAATGTTGGAGAACACCACTTTATCTCTAACAATTCATTGGCAGCTTCAGAATAATGGTCAGTCTATTTGGGAAATCTGCAGATGGAGCGTTCTCCGAATGTGCCTACTTACACCCCACACAGGCTCTGCAGGCGTAAGAGAGCCAGACAGTGCACAAAAAGCAAGATGAAGGGTAGGAGGCAAGATTCACATCTCCAGTACAACTGTAATTAGGTGCAGATAACCACATCTAACAGAGTAACTAGACAGGCAAAAATATTAAAGAATGCAGCTCAAATTGCAGGGTAAGCACACAACATGGGAACATTTGGGTTTCCAAGAAATAGCATCACCGGCCATGCAGCCCTGAACTCTACACAAACCTGAACACAGAAGTAAAGCGAGGCCAAGATGAAGCACTTCATCAATGAAGCAGCTTAACGTGAAGGACCAACGGCAAGTCAGCATCTACTAATGACAGCCCCCTTAGTTTTGGTAGTATACCACACATATGTAGAACCTGCACATTTTCTGCATGATTGTGGTGAGATGAGGGCAAGGTCCCACTGCTTTCTGCTACTGCTGAAACTTGTCTGCCATGGAAACCGGTAGCCATGGAAACAGGTAACACAGGACATACTGTAAACCGGAAGCGTACTGGTCACCCAGCTGGAATGTACCGAAATTGAAATTAACCAGTAAAACATTCAGCTGTATGAATGGTTAACGATGGGGGGTTTGTGTCACAATGTAATGTGCAGCATGACCTTGGTGGAAAAAGCTGCCCCACCCCCAATCAATCACGTGACGTGCGCCATGACTGCAACCAAACACATACCAGCTGTCTCCTGTTCCGCTTCCACGTCTCTGCTTTCCTTTTCGAGTTCATGTTCTGGAACGCTATGCAAGGGAAACCACAACACTGATGAGCTCTTCAGAAGATGGGCAGTAGGGGGCACTGTGGGTACTCCAGCTGCTTTAATATGGTGCACTTTACCATACACATGAAGCAAAGCATTTCAGATGTTACAAATGATATAACATTATTTTAATGGATTGTGACAAACATGGTGAATGAAGAGGAAAAAAATTATAGACATGTAATGCACAAAAATTAAAAGTTAAGAATTAAAAAAAGACATCCTGACAGGGTCTAAGGACATGCACTGATCAGTCACTGAGTGGACTCTACTCACTGAAATCACTGGGCAGACTGTGGTTCAGATTCCTGTAGAACTCAGTCCTGTGAGCCTTCTTCAACCCAGTGCACAAGCCAAAGTCAGACAGCTTGACATGACCCTGAAACACAAGCACCCAGGGAGATGAGTTGACACAGCAGCTCAGCATTTTGACCAATAGATGGCATGGATTCAATTGTAGGCCAGCAGAAAGACAAAATCACAAAACAAGCTTCATCTGACCATTTTACAGCATGGGGGTCTTTTTACCATTGTAAGCCTGCTGTAGTGAAACTGACAGCACCAGCATCACAGCAAAGTTCATGGTCACCGGTGCAGACAGTATATCAGCACATGCCATTACACCCCGGCAATGGCAGTACTTAAGCCCAGGCAAACCTTTACTAATTAACTAATGCACTGCGCCATTTTGTTACTTACTGACCGTAATCCTGCTAATGTTCAGTGCTCCTGCTGATCTCATTGTATTTTCACCTGAAATGCACAAATCATGAGCCACTGAATCCACAAATCACATGGCCAGGGCCGCCATCGCCTTATCTGATGTCCTCGCTGGCTCCTGCCACTTCCCCAGGAAGCACATGAGACGGTGACATGAGAGCTACAGAACTGCTGCTTTCACACCCCACACCCAGCCGCGTGTGGAGACCGCAGCCTTGTTTACTGACGGCTGCAGTGTGAGCACAGGCCTCCAGGCAGTGGTTTGCAAACCGGATCCAGAAGGACCAATCTTCACTTTCATTTGAGGTGTCAGTGACTCACTCTGGATTGGGTTGCTACCAGGTAATATATCCAGTCCAGTGACTCCCACAAGGCAGGTGATCAAAGCCAAACCAAAACATCAGTTTCAACTCGATCCAACAGCAATCAATCCATTGAAATATAAAACTTAATTATAATTAGACAATCATTCGGGACCTTTACCTGTCCAGGGACAATAACTCTTCACAAACAAATTACGGCTTAATAATGATCAAAACTGACATTGCATTATTATTGTAAGAGCTCAAATTTAAGTAATATTTTTGATTCCGCTTAATGAAAGGTACAAGTACTGCCCCAAGGTAACTTCTGAATCGTAACAGAGGGTCAAATCAGGGCTAATGGATCAGAATTAGAAACAGGGGCATACAGTGGGTGCGACAGCACCAAGGAAGTGTGCGGGAATCATGAGGGGTGGTGCTGGGTATGACAGGGTGGGGGCAAGCCACACCCCCACCTTCCTGTACACAGGAAGCTGCCCTAAGCCGCCTGCTCACACGCTTCCCCTTTTTAACAGCAGCACTTCCACTCTCAGCCAACTGTTTTCTTATTTCTGGTGAAGTGTAGCAACCAGAAGGGCTACTGGCCAGGGATTTCTCTCCATTCTGAGAGACATCTTTAACTTAGAGACGCCGGAGAATGTCTTCTTGTCTATCGTCCGCTACATGGATTAATGCAGGTGAATATGTTACACACTCCTCCATACGGCTGGAACATGCATGGAAGTCGCACCCTAGAGTCCAGAAGCAGGTTGTCCGGCTTGATGTCCCGGTGGATGAAGCTCATCTCGTGGATGGAGTCAATGGCCAAAACGGTCTCTGCAATGTAGAACTGAGTCTCCTCTTCAGTCAGTGTGTCCTTCTTCATTAGCAGGGTCATCATGTCACCTGTAAAGGGCAGCAGCAGGCTTGCAAAAAATACACTGGGTGCACATCTTCAGTTCTTCATAGCAGGTCACTGGACGCAACACAATAATCAAATACTGATTTTACAAAGCCAGTAAACACCAAGAATTATTAAAGCCATATGCTAATAATTATGAAAGCCATATACTGCTCTGATTGTGAAAGGAATGCTTCCTTTTTTAAAGGTTCTTGTCAACAACTGTGTGATGTTCTAACCACAAGGAACCACACCCTATGAACAATGAGGTCATGCCATGAACACATTCACCCTACCTACAAGCTACCAAAGTCAGCGCATACGCACCAAGAACCTGCCAATCAACAAGTATCTGGGGGCTTGAGTTACTCAAAAATCGTGGTTTCTTGCAGTATTGCTCTGTTACAATAATAAACTATTAATATTGCCAGTATTACTGAAAATATTGGGTGAATTTAGTTACTAAAAACCAAACCCCCCCCCCCCCGAATCATGTCTACATAACGGCACTTGATTCAGTTTCATTTTGTTCAATAGTGTCATGTGTATTTTTATATGGCCAAAACTGGAAAAAAAATGATTTGTGAGCCCTATAAAGGACACTGATCCAAGATCGATGAAGTTTGGCTGATTAAATTCAACCTGTACACCATGTGATTATTTATGCAATCCTTAAGTAGGATTCTTTTACTTCCCCAGTACTATCATGTTATGAAAAGTACATTCTGATCTACAGCAAACAATCTGGCATCTTCATACCAGGCATTCTGGTAAAGTCTTGCCGCATTATGAATCTTGGGCTAAGACCACTGGTCTGACTTCTAAATGCATTATGGGTATTGTTATGGGATCAATGTCTTCTCACCTCCAGGGAGGAATTCCATGATGAGGTAGAGATTCATCTTGTCTTGGAAGCTGTAGAACATCTTGACCACCCACTGGCTGTCGGCCTCAACCAGAACGTCCCGCTCAGCCCGAATGTGGCCCACCTGACAAAGAGCAGGGCAGAGGCACCACGTCAGAGACGATCAGCTATAACCACTGACAATGCCATCGTGAATCATTAATTAGTTACACTGTGCTTTACAAAGCTTCACGCTGCACCCTTACAATACCAAGGCTAATTCTTTGACTGGCATCCAGAACAACCTGAACAAGTTGTTAAAGAGCAACTTTATTAAACAATTACAAGACACGTCACAATTTTGGACTTTGGCTCCAACGGTGCTGCAGGCATTTCACACGGGCTGTTTTCACAGCCCAGAAGCACCTCACCTCCTGCATCACTCAAACCAGCTCTTTCATTGACTTCAAAAGCCAGTCGCCAGCATTTGCTTACACAGAGTGTTAAAAATGAGGAAGGAGGGAGGAATTTTCATTTTAACAAAAGGCGGCACGAGCATGTAGCGACCGTACAGCAACCTGGTAATAGCCACCCACCCGCTGAGTTATGGTGATGAACCGGCAGCTGCACACGAACCAGCCACTAGACCACAAGGTGCTAAAAGCAGGCTGGAAGCTACAGTAGACTGGAGCACGAGGGTGAGCTCTCCCAGGAACCCCTCTTTGCTGATCTGAATGTAGGGTGTCACTTTACAATAAGGCCACCCATATAAAGGGTTTATGAATGGTTTATAATCTGGTTATTAATTAGGTTGTAACACTTTGTAAATTATTATTACACAATTTTAAACAAGTTATAACAGTTTTCTTCTTATTAATGAGTTACTACCATTTACAAGCGACAAACGGGAGCCTCACTGTACCTAATGTAGTTGCTCGAGTTAAAAAGTGCCCATCCATACAAATGCATTAACCCTCTGGGGTCTAGGGGTAGGAAACACACTTTCACTGAATGGGGCATGATCACACATTTCTTCAAAT